ATGGTATCCTTGCAATTCTGTAACCAAAATTCTCAACGCATCGCTCATTCGTCTGAACAACCCTTAACATGTTATTTAAGGATTACATATTTAATTAGGCCTATCTGGTACGTTACTCATTGTTGCTTATACTTAACGAAACACGGGAAATTGCTAGAAACCCAGTACTTCAGAAAAGAGAAACACTCTATATGCACCGGTAGTGGGCGGATGTTTCGGGTGCACAGGCCTACCTCAATTCCTGTGAAACTGCACTCTGTCACGTAAGGTGCTGAAATTCGTCGCCCCAATGTCCAAGCACAACTGGACAGAATGCTCCAATTAGCGAATAAGCACGTTTAAAAAAAAATACTGCAATATTCTGACAAGTGTACTTATCCGAGTGTTTGATTGGTGTGCTCGTGGAGAGATACTGGCTACTTATGAAAGGAAGTTCTGATAACCGGTGCCTCTGAAATATACAAGTTGTCCGCATATTTATCGAAAAACCGTCATATTATATTCGGTCAATAACGGAATAAGAAGTGTTGCCAAAGAGACCAAGAGAATATAATTTTTAGATGTTCTCATTTTTGAAGAGAGTGCTCATTACAGATACGAAGTTCAGAGACCATTGATTCAGGCAGATGCCACTTTTGCGCACTCATTGAAGAGAATGTGACATGGCCGATTTTTCCACTATGCGAAGGTGTAGATGAAGTGTCTCGGAGAGGCTGTGTAACGCCTCGGTAACACAAACGACGCGGCAGAGATTGTTCTAACAATATGCGCCAGGAATCCAGTTTTCCGCCATACCCCAGGCCTAGTGATGTTCGCCATCTCACGACACAAGTAAAACTACATGAAGAGAACCAGTTTTCACTGCAAAAGTCCAATGTGCGCGAGTCTTGAGCAAATATTATGAAATTTATTGAATAATCCTAAAACTAAATCAGTCATGTAGTATGAAAAAGCTGACAGTATCTTAGTCAAGAAATCTCCCGTTTTTATGGAACACGTGGAATCATTAGGCCCACAATTCCGTACCCACACAAGCCCGTCACTTGATCGTATCCTGATCCAGCTGAACCCAGTCCATACCTTCACACTTTGTTACTTCAAGATTTATTCTAATGTGTGCAGATTTCCCAAGTGATCAAGTCTTCTTTTTCTTTTACTCGTATTTTACAAGAGGGACAGCTGAAACTCATTCGGGACAACAGGTCCTCAGACCGAAACCGAACTAGAAACCTCCAGAATGAGGAACAGTTCTAATCTCTACGTTTCCACGTTCAGTGTCTGGGGTAGATTAAGATTCGAGTTTCGGCACAGCAGGATATTTTTAGCTGTCGCGGGAAGTGTTTCATGCTCTTAAAATTATTTTTTGAAGTTTCTGAATGCTGATAATTATTCGGCCTGTTAAATTAATTATATAGATTTGGACTGTCAACACATGGCCCCCCCATAATGATACAGTCTCTCGGAGAAGCCTTGAGTTTACAGAGAACCATACGAAGAATGTTGGTAGATGTTTCACTCGAGAAAAAGTCATTAGGCTGTTTAATGGAATGTTTCAAATTAAAAAAGGAACAGAATGAGGCGGAGAGTGTTGCAACATTCCGTGACACGTCAGCATTTCTCTCCTGGACCACAAGAGTTGTCACCTCTGTAAGCAAAAACGGCTCAAGTGGCCGTCATTTATTTCATCTCTCCTCAAAATAAGGAAACTCCTATACCGTCGAAATGCAAGAACTTTAAGGAATTATTTATGAGACGTATTTTGGTTATAAGAACTTACATTTGTACGTAGATTATATAGATTATTATCTAGACACTCTAAAAGAAACTACATAGAGCAAAGTCATTCTTGAGGAGCACATAGTCGCGTAGCTAATCATAAAATTCCCCGCCCAAGTACGGGGCACAGCGTAACATTTCACAATGTGCTAATTTTTTACCGCAATAAATTTTTAGCCATCTAGTCAACCTCAGAGCTGGAGGACCACCTCTTGTCGGATGTCCATGGTTGCTTATTCAGTATATTCATATCTGCCCTTCATATCTGGAGGTCTCCTCCTCTAACCGCAAACTGTCGTGGCGACAAAGAACCCAGTTAACATGGAAGTTACGTTTTAAAAATTAAGTCACTTGGTCACGGCTTCAATGTTTTGCACGGCACACAGCCTTTACTCCGTTCCATGCAAGACGGATGCTTAGGTGGGATTGCAGCCTCGAGTCCTGAGACTACGGCGAGGCGTGGTTAAGACTAAATGCTCTGTCAGCGGCGGTCTGGTCCAGATGGACACGGTGACGGCGCGATGACGGCCTGGCGGCACGTGCGAGGTGACAGATTGAGTCACGGCATCACGAAACTCCTGTCCAACCTGCAACTCTTACAGTTTCAAGGCTCATAGAGACGACGACGGACTGAAGTTAAAGGGATAAAGAGCTGATTGGTCTGCAGATCATTTGACGACACTGTATTGACTGATGAAATTATGCACCATCGTACGAGATACGAAAGGATGAATACAAACGGCTACACTAAGGACATTAAACTTTTATGGAATATTGCAAACAACTTCCACTATGAAAAAAAATAAAAATAAAAGTCTCTCTGTAATTTTAAGCACACCGTACACGAAGAATGGCGTTATTCTAATCAACACCGACCACGCAGTGCGACTTTGATTTCAAATATTGGTGCACAGAAAATAAATAACTATGAGTTGAATCTCTTTCTGAAATACTTAGTTTACTGGGTGGGGTTCGCGAACCGCAGGTTGGATAACGCGGCTTAAACTGAGAAAGGGAAAGGAAGGAAAGATAAAATAACAACGTAAAGGAGATACAGATAAAAAATAAAAATAGCAAGAGAAGACTGAGAAGAGCAATGATAAAAGCCTAGAGACTTAGTTATTGTAATTCAAGTTATCTATCTACTGTTTTTAACTAAACTGAGTTGTAAGGCACCGCCATTTCGAGAGTGCTTTCAGAGCGTCGCGATAAAAACAGAAAAGACCGCACTCAGTGAAGCGACCTGTTTGTAATCAGAATATAAATGACCCGGGATCGTGTTAATTGAGTGAGACCAGGATGCTTGTCTGGGACCAGAGCACAGCGTAGCGTGTTAACTTGGCAGAGGCCAAATACTGCATGCACTGTCGACAGATCCCTGGGCTCTAATGACTGGTTCTGTCACGTTCACTCGCGTTTCGATTCCTACGGCCGCCTCTCCAAATCCATAAGTTATATCTTGTATATGTCGGTCGGTGTGTATAACGACGAACGCTCGCTCTTACGCCTACACAGACGGCGAGTAGTATCTAGTGCCAGGGTCGCTGTGAAGGCAAAGCGCTGGCGGAATACGTTCAACGCTGTTATCTTAGCATTTAGAGGGGCCGAAGAAATCCACGAAAAATCTCCATCAGGACAACGATAATCACCGGTTCGAAAGAGACTTTAAAATCTCCTGATAACAAAACAGAAGTTGGGTGGCCCAGTTAGGGAATTTTATTGCCAGGTATATTTCAATTTTGTGCCACGTCCTCTTCAGTATTTTAATACACGTAGACTCCGCAACATTCCGTGTTTTTTGTGGGTTCCGAATCAGAGGCAGTGTGGCCAACCGAACATTTGGTTTAACATATATCTTTAGAATGTTAATGAAGAAGGCTCTTTCCGGATTTATTATTTATACCAGTGTTATTTGTATGCCTGGTACAATGTATCCACAAATAAGACCAGTCTACGCGGATAACTGATAGCACAAGATTTTTCTAAACTATAGAAATTTTCTTGCTGATATCTCTCGCCGGCGGTCACTTCGAAATAGCCATTCTAGACTCCACGAGTAAAAATAGTTACCCAGTCCTATATTCGGCCTAAACAGGCATTTAAACCTTTTCATCAGCAGGTCTTAACTAAAACTATGTAACATTACTTATATTATGAAATAACGGAGTATTTCTCGTTGTTTACTTGATTATTTTACGACGCTGCGTCAACTAACAGGGAAGTGTAAAGAAGCAGTCGCCGCCTATTTTGAGGGTCGCCACTAGCCTATAATTTGTTTGAAGGGACTGAGGAAACCCACGATAAATCTTAGTATGACATGTAAGTCTATCCAGCCCGGATTCGAGCCGGTCTTTCCGGAATACAAGTCCGGTGGTTATTTTTGAGCTAAAGCCCTTCCGATAACATGGTCCTGTGGAACGTGCACATTTCAAGGCTTATTTAACAGAGTCGAGGTTTGTTTTGGGTTGAAAAGTTACTGCATGTGGCGGCACAACGTCCTCTTTGAGGTTATGGCCCCACATAACGAGTCCCCTCCGCCTCTCCCCAACCCTATTTTCTGTCTGTCAGCAAAGCCGCGCTGGTCGTTTGTATTAGCATAGCATTTTTCTGAAGTTTATCGTTTGTTCTCGCTTAACTTCAAAAGCGCTGCACTGATGTGTACCTCCCAACCTACCTACCCGTTTTTTAGTGACAGGGGAGTTGAGGGATCGCTCACAGCAGGAGGTCAAAACTCTACTTCCCTTGGCCCCTAGAACTGACCTCATCCCCCCTTCATCATGTTAGTTTCAGTGTAACCCCCTCCCCAAGACCATTTCAACCACGCCTACTGAATGTAGAGCACGCCGGACCTGACCGTACGTCTGTCTGTCATGTTCCCTTGCTGACACGGCTCCTAACAGAACAAAGTTTCCAGCCCACAAACTGTCTACTCACTTTCTGGACGTAAGCGGTATTGTAACCCATACCCCTTCGCGTCACTGTCTACTACCTACCTAAAAATGCGTGTGATAGAAGGGAACCTTACAAGGTCATACCTGTGTTTATTAATCCGTAGTAATTCTGACACTGGGTATTCATATTAAGTCCTGGCATGCAATATTACTGAACACCTTTTTGCACGCTCGTGCGTAAAACTAAAGCATTATGGGTGGCCCGGAAGTCCTGAAAGAAAGAAACTGCTTCATGGACTTCGGTGTAGATGAGAGGATACTAGTACAAGATTGGAAAGGTGTACTCTTTGGAGTACACTGTAATTCCAAAGGTGTTCTTCGCGCCACATCACGTACGGTAATGTCAGCAGGTTGCTTCGTTGATCAACACGGCGCGGTGGGACTGTGGACTTACATCACTCTTACTCAAAAAGAATACCAAGTGCAAGAATGTTATCAAAAAGGCAACAGTTGCATCGAAGGTCAATGTTGTGATGTCATCCGAGATATTGTGAACCAGTGTTGCAGTAGTATGTTCCACCAGTTCCATTGCTTCCCACTTTCACAACAATATATTCCAACAATTGCCTTAATTCCCATTTTGAAACAGATTTACAACAATGACTCTGGATCCTATTTCCTCAGAAAACGTGACAGGCAGACAAGGACGGCCCCTATGGTAATTCTCGCTCATGGTAGAGCGCCAAGAACAGCTAAAAATGGATCGTAAAGACATAGTGTGTGAGGCTTTGATCTGGACTCATCTGGCTTAGGATAGGGCCCAGCGGCGAACTCTTGTGAACACGGTAATGAACCTTCCGGTTCCATAAAAGGTGGAGAAATTTAGTGACTAGCTGAGCTACTATAAGCTTCTCAACGAGGGTTTCATTACTGCAGAGGCAAGTGTCCTCACCAATCTCTAAAACTACCCTCTAAGCCTGTACAACCACGTCACCGTCTTCTAATCAGTTCCCCTACCTGCAGGCTGAAAATTCCTCTAAAATATTAATATTACAGCCTCCGCACAGCTGAGATAGGCCTACTTGTATGTGAAAGTGGCACTTCATACAGTACGTCCATCTTATGAAATAAAACAAGAAAAATCTGCAAAAACAGCTTGAATGTTTAGATCGCTTTGCGAAACTTTAATGTGTTTTCTTTGCTGACTTTCCTGTGAATCGGAATACAACAGCAAGGCAAATGTTCCTTGATAAGCAAAGTTGTGGTGAAGCAGCTGTCATGGTTTCTACTTCAGGTATGGTTCCAGAACAAACGAAGCAAGGAGCGGCGACTGAAGCAGCTGACGTCAATGGGCCGAGGTCCGTTCTTCGGCAGCTCTCGCAAGATGCGGGGCTTCCCCATGAACCTGAGTCCCGCGGGACTTGACGAGGCGCCCCCGGGGTTTCCGTACTTCACTACAGCTGACGGAAAGTTCGAATTCGGCTATGGTGCCCCGGCAGGTTTCCACCACGAGTTTTTCCCCGGACACCATCCTCACCAAGGCCCCCCCGGACAGCCCCTGCCCTTCAACACCCCAGGTGAGAAAGCAGTAATAGCGCCGTGCATGCTTAATTAAATTCAGAGCAATTCTGTCTTGGTTTATACATTATCAACTAATCTGGTAATGTAGCGCAATAAACGGCTACGACTGATGAATGGGGAGAGACATAGTAGGAATCGATCATGACCTATTTTAAGGTATTATACAGGCTCTTATCCGGAAAAATTGAGGAACACTAAGGAAACCTCTGCAAATTCATGACTACCGTTCTGTCAACTCAGACATCTCCTTGATACATAAAATACGAGTGAAATAAAATATTCAGCTACACACGATCCACTGCTTGTTCCTGAGACAGGACTAAAATGTTGTCACTAGAGCCACCTCGTCTGTCGCCTGTGCTATGCCAGCAGGGGTTCACGTGATAACAGGGTACCACCTTACCCAATATTCATGTAATGTTTTCATTACAGGTGGACCTATGGACCAGGGTCCGATGCCCATGGGATCTGAGTTTGGGGGATTGACCCCCGAACCTCCCCCAGGTTTTCTCCAGCAGCCCCCTCCCCCCAACGAGCAACTGATTTCACAGAGGTCCAGCCCCGAATTCATCAGTTCACAGGGTCAGTAGCAAATCAGCTGTCTGGGGTCACTGTAGACCTCAGTATTAGTTTTTTCCCTCCTCACTAGGAGCACGTTAGTGTGTAGACTGATTTTTAGTGAACTATAAGGAAACAGACTTTAATATGTTCCGGTAATTTATTAGCAAGACTGGAATAGTACAATAAGTGCCACAAGTAAGTAAATGTGCTGCATAGCCCAAGGCCTGGCTTCGCCATCCTTCGTTCGTAGCTGCCATGTGCGAGGATCATAGACGCCTGACAGTGTCAGGACCGATCAATAAAATTAAAAAATATTAAATAGTGAGAATATTACTATCATAATCCCATGATCTGTGTATAAATAGTACTAGTATGTGTTAACTTAAATTTAACATATACACTTCTTAAGTGAAGTTTAAATAAAATCCAGTGGGTGCATAACTTCGTTTGATATGTTCTCGTTGTAAGCAATCATACAAGTACATAAACAAATGTAAAACGTTATATAAATCGCAGAGTAAAAGATAAAAGAAGAACGTTAGAAGAAAGAATAGCTTGCACTTTCATCCACAAAACATCTGCTATTGGCTTTATGAGACCATGGAACTGGCAGTATTTAATTGGCAACGCTTGATATGGAATGAAAACTTTTGCAGTTAAAATCATGAAGTATCAGATGCACTCACTACTGTAAATAAATACCTAAGCACATGTATTGAATAAGCCATGCTCACTGCTCCCATACTGCATTTCATGACCAGATTTCGGCGTTTGTATCAATTTTAAATAAAGAAGGGTGTGAAATGTACTAAGCGGAGACATTTTTTCAACAACAAACTTAACACGGGAAATTTGCTAGGCCATATGGAAGTAACACGGAAATTGATAAGTACTACCTGGTAATACAAACAGAATACGAATGCTAACAAACTCCATGGAAGAGCCTTTCTTCAGAAGCCAATAATTACTTGGTTAGTCAGTAAATTCCATGCCTTAGGAACCAAAAGATTCATTAACGAAATCGTGACTAATTATAATTAACGGCAGAATCTTGTATTTTGCGAATTATGTTTGAAATTGTTCATTAAGCATCGAAATCATTCGCTTTTTACTTTGTGAATTCCAGTTTTCCGAAGGATTAATGTAGTGGGTTTAATTAAGTTGTCATTCATAGTAGGCCTATAACCTATATTATATAAAAACAGGGCATCATGCAATCAGAAATATAGTTAGTCAGAATCTTAAGAAGGGTAACCACAGAGTATGTAAGCTTTTGTCAGAATTTTCCAGTCACAGTCCAGGCTCGTAAAAATATGATTATTAGACTAGGCGACCTACATACATTTACCGAACTGTTTAAAAACTTTCTGATTGAACGTCCACTTTGTAGCCTCGTGGTTAGAAACTCGCTGTCGACCAGCAAATTCATAAAAGTTGAAACTGCTGAAGTATTATTACTTCTAAAGGACTATTATTATAATTGGCATTGTCACCTGCAATAACAACAGGTAAGTACTGAATCATCTGACACGCTGAAGTTATCAACACCTTTACGATGGCTTCCTAAATGTCACTTAATTTTCATAATAAAAATCATATTTAAGATAACATGTGTATATGTTCCGAGGAGTAATTTAATTATTATTACGTACTTAAGCTGCAGGCCAAAATTACATTTACGATCTGCAAACTAGGCTTATAGGCTATATACACCCTACCACATGCAAAAGAAATTCCTTCTCCGGGGGCTGTAATGTGATAATGTTTTTGTGTACGGACAGGCGGGTTTTCCGAGCCGCAGCAGATGCAGAACGAGGGCCTGGTGTGGTGATAGCTGCCTGCCGTCAGCGGAACCTCTTGCTGTCAGGACGGCGACGACGTTGATGATGAGGAAGACTTCAAGCAATGAAACGAACAGCTTCAGATCTAAGCAGTGACTATTACGGAACCAGTTATTTAAGAAGACAGTGAACCGTGTTATCGGAAGCGATTTAAAAAGTATTGTCACCAGGAGTGAATCGTATTGTGTCAACGGTGATATTTGCTAAAAGAAAACACAGAAGAAAGTGCTTATGAGGGCTGGGAGTGTTAAGTGTCTATCTGCGACCTGAATTAAAAGCAAGAAAGTGATTTGAACTGTGAATATGTTAATAAACGATTATTTAAAACACAAAATGCCAGGTGTGAAAATGAGTTCTGAATTGTGTTTCGTGGTCATCGTAAGCCAAGGACTTCCCGTGGAAACGTTGTACAGATTGAAGACAGCAACAACCGCTCACGGCTATGCTAAACTGTATCAAAATCGAACACAAGTTATTCTTGCTTTTATGTTTAATTTGACTATAAACTTTGCACAGAACAGCAAGAACATAAGAACAAATAAGCTATCCGTAAAAAAACAATCAATGTGCTTTCGAATCCTCTACATCGTGGAGGCTATCATTTACACAGAATAATACAGAAACTGCTGCACTGTATCTGCTGTAGGCCTATCCAAGCAAAGGGATGGCTACTAATGTGTAAGAGCGAACTTCATCCAGTGGTTTGCTTAAAAATGGATCGAAGAAAATAAAACGTGTGTCTGTGTAAAGAAAACGTGACGAAAGAAAATTTGGAAATGCATTTAAGTTTAAGAGAAGAACAAATTATCCACGACTTTTACGTGCGTTAATTAAAATAACTCTGAAGAGAGAGACAAACAATTTTCACATTACAAATCACCGCATGTGCTAGAAAGAAAATACAGTCAAAAATTAATCTAACATTGTTTGTCCTTCCACTAATCGAATTATTCAGATACCTATGTGTGCAAAGAATAATTTCTGGAGTTATTTTTATTCTAAACAGCATTGTTTTGTTTGATCATGTTCCTGTTATCCATTGTGATTATCTACTGATTTTTTTAAAAGGAAAGTACTTCAAAATGTTGTATGACATTTATTATGCACCAGTTTCGTCTCGTCTATGTATCATAGCTTAGAAACACGGAATATGAATCAGTAGACCACATAATGTTCATTTATATGACCTGCCCAACATTAACATTTGTGTATTAGATTATTTCCTGAACCAGAATTCTGACCCTCAGTTACATAATTATTTCCGCTACCCACAATACAATGCGGTAGGTTATACTATAATTCCAGCCCCAAGGGATCATACAAGTTAAAGAACAGAATACGAATTTGTATAAATTTTGATCTGATGCAGTTTATTTTTACCCAGTTTAATACAATTATTCATAACAATTATTATTATACAACCAAACCTTTCTTTCTACAATCACACTGATGATAGTTTTGATGCAGCAGTGGATTAAAGAAAACATCTAGTGTGTTTCTGCCTGTAGATACATGGATTAATGTCTAAGCCAGGTTCATATTTAATACAGCTAAAATATAGACATTTAAAATAAGGGGGCAGGAATCCTCTTAATGTGTCCACCCACGTATACACGTTGTGACCAAATAAAACCACGAAAAGTACACAGCATCGGTGTATCGACGACAGTCCATTATTTTCAGAGTGCTTAGAGAACTAAAATTAAGAAATTTAGCTATTGAACAGTAGAGTGGCCACACGCCGTTAATAATTTGTATACAGTGCCACTCCAAGGAGAATATGCAAACATATTCCATTCAACTGTCTGAGAATAAATGAGAGTTTTTAGTACGTTAGCGCGAAAATTGAGTAACAATTCATTGGCCATTAACCGTAAATAATATATCAAAATCCAGTCCATACCTCAGAGAAAACACACATCATTTTATATGTCAAGTGGTTAATTTTATTCAGGGATATAATCGCTGTTTGCAGTGACAATCATACGGAACCCATAAATACAAAATGCATAGTTATTACTTGTTAAAGCAGGTTGTGTATATAGTTACCACTGGGCTAGAAAGGGTTAATATAGATGTTTCAAAACGCGTGTCCTTAATCCAAAAATTCCTTAAACTGCTGACGTTCGTCAAACGAGTCTATGTAGGTCTGCATGGAATGATTTCGTCACACACAGCAGTAAAAAGATTTCAATAGCTCCGAGTTCCCTTACCCATATCCTTGATATTGAAAACCCAATAATTGTTTAATGTGGAGAGGAAAGGTTCTCTTCCACAAAAACACAAAACAGAGAAAATTTAAATATGTCAAGTAACACAGCACAAATAAATACACGTACTGCAATTTATCGACTCTTTTATTAAAGAGGAAAATTATTTAAAGGGAATCAGTGGAATATTTTAAATATCGTAAGAAAATGTATTTTAAATTAAAATTAATATTAGTATCATAATAATCACTCATATTCCCACTTCCTATCAAAAACCTATAGATCGCGGAAAATATAAGAAAATTCAGGCCTCAATTGTATGTGTTGTTTTGTCGTGTGAACGTTCGTCTCTCACCCTGAGAACATAAATTGAGAGTGTCAGTGAAACGGGAATTAGAAAAATATTTGGACCCAAAAGATAGAACTACCTGGATGGAGAGAATTACGTAAAGTTGAACTTCGTAATTTTTACGTTCCACCAAATACTATTGGTGGTGACAAAGTCACGGCGAATTACATGGGCGGGACATGTGACACGCTTGAAAGAATAAACATTTGTGAAAAATGTGTATTTTGTTTAAATATATCTCACCATATAACATTTCCGGATGAACGCCGAATAACGCCAGTGTTTCTAGAATCCCAGAAGTTACTTCTCAGACCCACTAGTAAATTTTTTGAAATGGTACCTCAAGATAGGCCATGGCTTCTTTCTTCCGCCAGCTTTCCTATTTCATAATTTACAATAATCCTGTAATCTGATGCTACGCCGACCCTATTACTCGGTCTATAGCTTCGTGGTAGCAGCCTTGAAAAGTCGACAGAGTTTATTGATGTTTTGGGACCCAAAGGTTCATCACCTCATTAGAACTCGCTCTACTGAAATCTATCCTGAACTACTTGAGCCCAATCTAAATTTCCACGTCGCATTTCTTTCTGGCATTAACTTCCCATAGAAGCCTACATTGGTCCATCCACAAATATGTAAGCTTTCCTCATGTCTCCCCACGAGCTTTCGGAATGAAATCTATGTCAACTTTTCGTTAGTCTCGTTTGTAAATGTTTCCTTCACCGCGAACAGCTTTGTGTACACTGCGTTCAGGCTAGCTGTGCCTGTGGGTGACCGCTCATATAATGCGGAAAGGGGGAAAATGGGAAGATGCTGTGCGTACCGTTTCAAAAATACTGCACCTATTGTATAAGAACGAACGACACTCGTTCAATGCTAAAAATAAACTATGACTACACCTGCATGAGCATTGCCGACTACGGACAAATATCGCGAGTAGCACAGCTACAGTGAAAGCAGCGTAGACTTCAAACAAAAGACGCGGTACAACAACGGCAATGAACTAACTTGCGTAAAAGCTGAACCGAGTTTGATACCTTTCAAAAGTTCACGGAACCGTGCAACAAAGGTCTTCGTAAATATGATATTTATAACGTCCTTGGAAGTACGCTCATATCCGCAGATCAACTACAAAACAATGAAAAATGTTTTTATAAGTCTGTCTGAAATCCTGCAAGAAAGCTACGCACAATGCCACGCGCCGTGACGGCTGACAGCTCAAGGCGCCAACACGCCCTCGCTGACAAGATTCTTGAAAACTGGCATTTTCAGTTTGACAGAATTATTATAAATCTTAAAGCTAAAACGTATAACTTTCTGCACCCTTCTCAGTCTATGCTCAGATACTGAAAATGTCAAAGGAAACGTGAAGTGTAAAGTTTCCTGCATGTCTAAAGACTACGCCACGAAAACGTAAAACTCCACCCATTCTTAACCTCGGAAACAGATGGAAGTGAGTGGTTAGCTTCACAGTGCGTTCTTTTGAAAGGGCACTAGTACTTAATGGATGGCAGCAGGCTGCATAAACTTCAGCAACATGGAAACAAGGCTAAAAATGTGTACTCTTTGGAGTACAGAATCATTCCAACGGTGTTCTTCACGCAACATCACGTATGTAATTGTTGTGCAACAGTGTCTAAACAATGGTCCTCGGTCATGCGGGTTGTCTGCGCCCGTAGGAAAAACGCGATAGACAGTTAGAGAGAGAGGGATGGGCCCATAAATTGTTCTTCGCTCAGGCTAGAGCGTAAAGAACATCTAAGAGCTGTCTACCAAGAAGTAAATTTTATAAAATTATACCATAACATCGATAAATTCTGAATCCTCAACTGTCAGTATTCCGTTTTAAGTAAGTGTTCTGAATGCAGAAAACAATATTTTAATTTTGAGCTTAAGAGAGATGGAAATAACTTTGTGTCGTTCAGTATTAAAATGCTATCAACACATTTTGTCCGATTGTTTTGAACAGCTCTGCTGTCAAATAAAGCTTCTGAACATGGTCCTACCTGTGATATGTGCTTATAAATGAAAATCCAGTAGACTGACATTTGCATTCGTAATATTTTATCCTTCATTTAAAGAACATCACATCGACTTAGAACGTGTAGTCAAGTGGAACAGAATATTTACCAACTGAAACAAACACGATTTGACAGATGGACGTGTAAATGTGTGGGAATTTTAAGGTCATTACATTGCAACACGAAATTTCTAATACCTAAACAGAGTTACAGAATGTGACTGACATGAAATTTGCAGGGTATAAAGTCGTAACATGGGAGTGGACAGAAAACGAAAGTGGTGAGGGATGTGACGCTTCAGTTCTCGGTGATCAGCAGAAAATTATGAGTTGTATCACCGGTAATAATTTGAACAGCCCGAGGTACGATCCGTAACGAACGAAATAAGCTGCCATAACTACATCTGACAAAAGTGCGTACCAGACAGTACTACAAAAATCGAATATGGATGCGTGACAATACTATAGGCTACCCGCATTAAAAGGTTAATACATCCCTGGTACTTAACTACGCACTATGACATGCAGAAATTCTTAATTTCGTCAATAAAAATGGATGAGTGGTAAAATCCACGCCCCGGCCGACTTAACCCCGAAGAAATATCTGCGGAATCCATTAACTAGGAGGCAGGGTGAATCCCAGAACAGGTCTGGGCGTTGTGACGTATAGAAAAATCCTGCCCTATCTTAATAATACAGGCTTAAGGAAGAATTTTATAAATGAAGACAGATTCTCGCTATCACAATTTTCAAACTAGCCTGCATTTATCACTATAGACTGAGACAAACCACTTTTAGTGCGACCAGCAAGCCGGTCCAAAGTTAGACGAATATACAGAACATGAAAAACAGTCGATGACGGTATCTGTTATATGCCCAAGCATGTAACAAACTGTTTTTTGCGTTTAATATTATACAGAAGTGTTATTCAACTTAAAAAAAATAAACTTTCACATAGGCACAACATTACGCCACAACTAACATTATTTTAGTTTCAATGAAATCACAAATTCTCTAATTGAAAGACATATTGATACAACAGTACTGAAGGAACAGCACTACCGAAACATAAGGAGAGAACAAATGTTCTGAAATCTTAGGGTTTAGGTTAGGTTCAGAGACTGCGAGGGAAATTTACCACCATATAAAGACAAGTAAAACAAAAGAGTGATTAGAAAAAGCCGGGTTGTGTCCAATACAGTATCATCATTATTGTTTACGTAAACGTTTAATCCAGTATTTTTCTAACAAAAACAGAACATGATTTACATGGGTAGGTTGTAAGTGGAATCTATGACCTCTACTAACAATAATGTTCATAAAAACTTTTTCATTGTTGTACTAATGGTATCAGCCAGTGCAAACGAACATTTGAAAACCATTGGGAAGGAATACGAACAATCCTTAAAACGATTTCCTACATCCTTAGAAGTCGGTATGGTCAATATAGGAAATCACGCTATATTCAGATCTTGAAGGATCTTTACAAGAGATAACAAGCGATCGCCCGCACGCAGAAGCACGGGAAACTTGGCATGTGTGCAACATTCATGCTATCATGCCATTCATTCAACAATAGCCCCCACACACTCCCCCCCCCCCCCCCCCCCCTCTCCAGCGGTCACCCTAATTTGACTTTTGATGTTCTGTGTAGCCTCAATTTTTCCTTTCTGTACCTCTCTTTTTCTGTCGTCATAATATTAACGAGCCTTCTAGTAGAATAGCAAGCGACTATATAAACCAACATTGTGATGCGCGTTTGTCATAACTGTCAGCAGCGCCGCGTGGTGGCATGGGGGCGGACTAGGGTAACAATGGCCATTGCTAACCCTATTTCCACATCGATTCCATGCCTTATGAATAATATAGTACCATTGTGTACGTATGTATTTTCTACTTTTTCGTGGTTTATACTGGTTATTCATGATACTCAAACTACGATTTTAATGTTTACAAATCTTGAGTTAAATTATTGTTGCTTTAGAAGCTACAGACTACGCGATTAAGGGCTTGAAACATTTACATTAACCTACCTCCGTCAAGATTCAAATATACAGTCGTACGAGTCCAAAAATTTGTTCAGATCATTTAGAATAGTACATCCCGATATTCAGTTAGTATCAAGCCAAGAAGACACCAGAGCCAATGTGGATGCAGGCGCGAAGAGAAAAATCTGAACGAAATCTTCTCTCAGCTCACCAACTGCAGATAAAGGCTCGAAAATTCGTAGAGACGTAACATTGGTAGAATTGACACAGTTGTCAATTTATTAGAACAGCACTACTTTCCTTTCATTTTTGCCCAAAATAACCTACAATTATCCCGGAGGCGTATTGTAGGCCTAATTTATTTTCAAAGGAGTGGTGAGTGCTCCCACGCACTCACAGTGATGTAACGGGGGCGCGTGATGAG